ACGGTTCTCCACCCTCGAAGACCGGTCAGGAAGGGTGTGGAAAGTCAGGTCGCACTCCCCAAAGGTCTGGACAGTTTGTTCCGCGCGGGCTGATGCTGGGGCTTTCCGGTGGCGGCCGCTCCGCCGTCCTGCATCGATCTGTTGCCCTGTTGCGGCACATCGTTGGCATCGACCGTGAGACCCCAGCCACGGCAGGAGATCTGGAACGGGTGAGGAGTCAGGAGTGAAATCAGGTGCTGGGACCAAGGTCCTCCGCAGCTCTGGGCACTGGCCACCAAAAGGGGCAATGGGGCCCTGCCAGCCAGACAGCGCCTTTTGAGCGCCCCAACTCTGGCGGGAAGGAAAACTCCATGTGGGCACAGGGCTAAGGGAAGGAAGGGCACAAGTTCGGACGGCAGTTACCGGGTTTCCGAATGCCACGCTCTGGGCCCAGGCCAGGTGCTGGTCAGCACGGTTCACGAGCCAGGGCGAATCGGACGCCAGGGTGGCTGGACCACAGCTCGGACTCCCCTTCCTCCAAGAGGAGCGCCAGCAAATGGTAAATATCTGAACTGACTAAAAAGAAACCTGTGCTTAGTCAACAAAACAAAAAACCCCAGTGGTGTCCTCGTGTTGTGCGAATTGGGTTCTGCAAGTCACTCAGGAGCTTGGGGGTAGAGGGTCGGTCCGCACATCCTCACATCCCCTGGCCAAAATATGCGCCGCCCCATTGACCCTCTTACCCCCCCCTTGCCACGGACCTAGTTCTTTAATTGTGTAACTTTTGTAACTTCTTTATTTTGATGTCACTTTAAGGAAAGTGGCAAGAATATACAAGAATGCCTTCACATACTCTCACCAGGATTTCCTTTATGTTTTTTTCTGTGTTCTGTCAACTTGTCTCAGTCTTTTCTCTCTAATCCACACACGCACATGGTTATTATATAGCACACAATGCACATATATGTAGTTTCTGGTTCTTTACCTTGACATTTATGGTAAATGTTCAAAGGCCTTCTGTGACTTTACCCCTAAATACTTCATTGCCACATCAACCACATTACAATCAATCAAAATCAGAAACATGACACAGTTGCAAACCAGTATATTCAGCATTAACTCTAACACTTACAATAACACTGCATCGAATTTCTATAGAGCACAGTTCACAATCGCAAAAGTTGTGGAACACAACCCAGGTGCCCAATTCAATACATGATGATTAATAAAAATGTGATATATGTATACCATGGAGTACTATTCAGCTTTAAGAAACAATGGTGATATAGCACCTCTTTTATTTTCCTGATAGACCTGGAACCCATTTACTAAGTGAAGATCTCAAGAATTGGAAAAACAAGCACCACATGTACTTCACCAGCAAATTGTTTGACGGATCAACACCTAAGTGGACATATAGGAGTAACATCTATCCGGTGTCAGGCGGTGGAGGGAGGAGGGATGGATATACAACATAATGAGTTGAGATGTGCAACGTTTGGGGATGTCACGCTTTGAAGCTCTTGACTCGAGGAAACGGGGGCTCGGCAATATACTAAGTAACTTTGTACCTCTATAATATGCTGAAATAAAAAATGCGAAAAAAACCGGGTAATGGTGGCTCACGCTGTTAATCCTGGCACTTTGGGAGGCCGAGGCGGGCAGATTGCTCAAGGTCAGGAGTTCGAAACCAGCCTGAAGGAGACCCCGTCTCTACAAAAATAGAAATAAATTAATTGACCACTAAAATATATATACAAAAATAGCGGCATGGTGGCACATGCCTGTAGTCCAGCTACTCAGGAGGCTGAGGCAGTAGGATCGCTGAGCCCGAGATTGAGGTTGCTTGGAGCCAGGGTGATGCCACGGCACTCACTCTAGCCTGGGCAACAAAGGAGACTCTGTCTCAAAAGAAAAAAAAAAAAAAAAAAAAAGTTAAAACAAACAACAAAACATAACTCTGTATAAATAAAAAGTCCAATGGCTAGCACAGTGGACTCCATGCCTTAACCCAGCACTTTGAGGCACAGGCAGGAGGATTTTTTTTCTTTTTTTGAAACAGGATCTCGCTTTTTGCAGGCTCGTGAGTGCCATTGTCAGCCTAGCTCAGCAACCTCAACTCCTGGGCTCAAAGTAATCCTCCTTGCCTCAGCTCCTCAAGCAGCTGGACTACAGCAACCCACCATGCCGGCTAAGGTTTTTCCCATATGATATATTAGTTGCTTAATTAATTTCTTTCTATCATGGTAGAGACGGTTTCTCTTGCTCAGGCTGTTTCCAACTTCTGACCTGGCATTGCTTCGCCTCAGCCTCCAGATGCTAGGATACAGGCGGGCCACCGCACCCCCAGGAGGATTTCTGATCAGGAGTCAAGAACCAGACCCCACCTGGGAGCAACATATGAGCCCTGTCTTTACAAAAGAAATTAAGTCTGGGCCAGGGTGGCTCATGCTGTAATCCTGCACCTGGGGATGGCTGAGTGGGTGGATCACTGAAGCAGGAGTAAGAGACCAGCTGAACAAAGAGTGAGACTCCATCTCTACAAAAAAAATAGAAAAGTTGGTTGGGTTGTGGTGGCTTATTGCCTGTATTCCCAGCTACTTGGAGGCTAAAGGGAAAGGATCCCTTGGACCCAGAGTTCAGCTGTAGTGGACTGTGGATACAGCACTAGAGCTTAGGTGTGCACAGTGAGAACACCTTTCTCAAAAAGAAAGAAATATAAATATTATAATTAAATTTTGAAGCCATGGCCTTGCTAAAACATTACAATCAAAAAAATAAAAGTTTGGCCGGGCACGGGCTCATGCCTGAATCCTAGCACTTGGAGCCGAGCGGGAGGATTGCTCAAGTCAGGAGTTCGAAACCAGCCTGAGCATAACGAGACCCCGTCTTCTACTATAAATAGAAAGCAAATAATGCCACTAATATAGTATATTAAAAAATTAGGCGGCATGGGGTTGGTGGCACTGCCTGTAGTCCCAGCCTACTTGGGGCTGAGCAGGAGATCGCTGAAGCCAGGAGTTTTCGTTGCTGTGAGCTAGGCTGACGCCATGGCACTCACTCTAGCCTGAGCAACAGAGTGAGATCTGTCTCAAAAAATAAATAAATAAAATAAAGTTTTATTAATGAGAAAGTTATTAAAAGAGAAAAATATTTTTTTTTTTTGGAGATAGATCTGCTTTGTTCCCAGGCTAGAGGTGAGTGCCGGTGGCTTCAGCGTAAGCTCCAGCAACCTCAAACTCCCTGGCCAAGCGATCCTCCTGCCCAGCCTCCGAGTAGCTGGAATACAGGATGGCCGCACCATGCCCGGCTAATTTTCTATATACCCTATTAGGTTGGCAATTAATTCTTTTATTTTTTTTTTTTTTTTGACACAGAGTCTACTTTGTTCCCAGGCTTACGAGTGAGTGCTTGGCATCAGCGAGCTCCCAGCAACCTTCAAACTTCCTGGGCTCAAGCGAGTCCCCTCAAGCCTCCTCAGCAAGTGGGACTACAGGCATGTGCCACCATGCCAAGCTAAGTTTTTCTATATATATTAGCTGTCCATTAATTTTTTATTATGGATAGAGACGGAGTCTCGCTCTTGCTTCAGGCGGTGGTTCGAAACTCCTGACCTGAGCAATCCACCCGCTCGCCTCCCAGAGTCTAGGGTTACAGGTGTGAGCCCCGCGCCTGCCCAAATGAAGAAATCTTAATTGCCTAACCAGTCACCTGGAGGCTAGACAGCGGTCCCTTCGCGTCGTTACACCTACAATACATGGAATATGCCTCCACGTGCCTGTACACGCGCTAGGTGTCTTAGTCTCTGCTCACCTGATGTTTCAACCTCGCGGCACAGCCGTACAGGCAGGCAATGCATCACCAGGTGGACGGGATTTGAGTTTGCCCACCAGCCTGGGGAAGTCTCCGCGGCATTGTACAAATTAAATGACGTCCTACAGTTGTGAGTATTTCCTTTACCACATTGAACTGCCACACTAAGAAAAATGTTTTTTCCCCTGGGCCACATGTTTATATTAAACAAAAACCAATCCTTTCTAAATTCTTATTTTTTTATGCTTTCTGGTGCATGGTTATATGAAACAAAAACTACATTTTCAGAATTAAATGTTAATATAAATGTAATAATAGACATGAAAAAGAAAGATTTACCAACCATCTCAGGATTTGTTCGAGCCGCCCTGGTCTAAACGTAGCCTGAGTTGCGGTGGCGCGCGTGGCTCACGCCTAGTCCTAGCACTCTTGGGATGGCCGAGGCGGCGATTGCTCGAGGTCATGAGTTTGAAACAGCCTGAGGCAGAGCGAGACCCCGGTTTACTATACAATAGAGAAGAAATTAATTCAATAATATATATAGAAAAATTAGCCAGCATGTGCGCATGCGCTGAAGTCCCAGCTGCTCGGATGGGCTGAGCAGGAGGATCGCTGACCCAGGAGTTTGAGGTTCTTTGAGCTAGGGCGATGCACGGCGCCTCACTTCTAGCCTGAGCAACAAAGTGGACTCTGTCTCAAAAAAAAAAAAAACTAGCCTGAGTAAATTACAACTCACAGGCAGTCAATGGTGTAAAAGGTTAGAGTGAGTGTGTGGGGTCTGTATACCCCATA